TCATGCATCATGAAACCGCCATCAAAAAAAAAAAAAAAACACTGGGAGGGCTCACACTCAACCTCCCCCCCCCCCCCCCCCCCCCCCCCTATCCATATTTTTGTGGGATCAGGCAACCCTTATTTTTAAAAAAAAAAAGTACTAAGGGGAGGACCTTAATCCCCGCCTCCCGCCCCTTACAAGTTTTCTAGACAGGCACAAGTAACGATCTTAGGCCCATAATACATACCATGATTGGCCGTTCATTCATGCTTGCTTACCTTTAACAAGCGCGACTCTCTGTTACAGGTGTATCAGGTTGTATTGTCTTTGGCGCTTTCCCCGATGATTGACGCGTGCTCTGTATTACACGATGTGACTGCTTATAAGGACCCCAGAAGATCTAGAACTGGCCCTAACTCCTACCCCAACCCACCCCACCACACATACTCAGCCTACCCCAGAAGATCTAGAACCGGCCCTAACCCCCAGCTCCCACAAGAAAGATAGATAGATAGATAGAGAGAGAAAGAGAGAGAGAGAGAGAGAGAGAGAGAGAGAGAGAGAGAGAGAGAGAGAGAGAGAGAGAGAGAGAGAGAGAGAGAGAGAGAGAGAGAGTGAGTGAGAGAGAGAGAGAGAGAGAGAGAGAGAGAGAGAGAGAGAGAGAGAGAGAGAGGCAGCCTAGCCTACGTCCCACGAGAGACTGCAGCCTACGTCAGGTGGTTTCAGAACTGTACACATTTTGCGGTCGACCCATTTTGCCAGTCGTCAATGCTAACAACTGAAGTAAATTTACGTCGTACTTGAAGTCGCAGAAGGCTAGAATATACGCAATGTCGCTGGCCGTTCAGAACAACGAGTAAAATACAACGTGTATTTATACGTAACAGAACACAACGGGACTCTCCTGTAACTTAGACTAGCGCGTGTGGAAGGTTAGGAAGCATGAATAGACGGCCAATCACAGTGTGTATGGGACGGAAAACGTTCTTGTACCTGTCTGAGACGTCCAAGTAGGTTGTTGGTCCACTTATACCGGAAGGTCTTGCGTGCTCTCACAGCCTTAACCTTACTGGGTTTAGAAATCAGGACTGAACACGGTAGGTGATCACTTCCATGGTCATTCAGGACAGTCCATTTAACATCTAAAACTGGGGGACAAATGTCAAGTCAATGGCTGTGCCTCTATCGCCTGACATTGTAATTGATGCTGACCATATCGGAGTCAACCACGGCCTATGCAAGGGCGATTCCCTGTCGGTTTTCTCCGCTGCTGTCTTATTCTCTGTTCCTCTCGTTGAAATCCCCACATATGAGTAACCTATCACCTAGTAACACCTCTAATTCCTTGAGCCCCATTGTTCCTTTCTGACAAAACAGTCTACCGTGGCATATATATTTATGAAGTTCCAACGTGAGCCACCATTCTCCCCCTTTATCCCCTGAACCTCTTTTCCACGGTGGTTCCACTGGCTCAATTCAAGCACCGCATGCCTCACTCCCTCCTTCACCACCAGACCTTGTCCATGTCTCTCTTGTCCAACAGGGACGTACCGAGGGCAATGTTATCTGTCTTTGGCTCCTGGAGCATGGCTAGTTGCGTTTCCTTTAAAGGACGTTGCAGAACCAACCCCAACAGCCCCTGGCTGTTGTGTGGTTTTTCTAGGCAAATTTACGTATAGTAGTTTGCCATTTCTTACTGGACGGTCGGCCCCCTGATACCACTGTCGAAACCAACGCAAGGCGCATGGCCAGCAGCTGGGATCGAACCCGGCATCCTGACGTGTTCGCATCGACTTAGCCACAGAGCTGACGTGAAGCATGATGACATCAAAATCAGAAATCAACCTCTCTAGTACAGGACCTCTCTGCATAGCACTCCGATAGTCCCAGTACCATAATATTACATGATTGAAGCCTAATTCTCCACTTTTTGTCTTGTTCTCCTAGCACCTGCCCTCTTATTTCCATGCCTTCTTCTCTCCCCATTCCCTCGTCGTCTCCTCCTCACTCACTCTTCACTAACTGCTGAAAAAGGTGTCGAACGCAGAGCAAGTGCTCCGTAACTCCGGCGACGATTCCTATTTATATTTGAATCCATATGCGAAAAAAAAAAGAATACTGCAGGAAATGACCGGTCACCCCTGTATTGCCTGTATTACATAGGAACCGTTACGACCAGTGTTGCCACTTTTCTTTGACAAAAAATATCCAAAACGGTGTCAAACAATATCTAAAAAGATCTAAATCTGCGTGGAAAAGATCTAGAAAAAACATCCAAATTGAAAAAGTCAAAAATTAAATAGCTTTTGTTATGACTTACCCTACATAATCATGTCCTCACCTTCACTAATGTCTGCCTCACAAGATCCACAGGATAAACTTAGCTTGGATAATGAAGTTGAAGCTTCAGATCCAAAATGACCCTGGTATGCTTTAGCTGTTCAAATTTCTTTATGTGGAACAGTAGGCTTATTTCTCTAGTCTCATTAGGCCAAATTTTAATGGCACGATTGCATTTAAGAGGTCAAATTTCATCCTGTTTTTTAGGTTAGATTGTAATATAATTCCTAGCACTGAAAACTCTTTCTACGTCAGCATTTGAGTGGGGTAGTATCATGGCAGACATCGCACTTTAAAGAGCTTATAGAATGGACTGTTTGATGAGGCATCTTTAAATTGTCTCACTTCACTCCAAAACGCTTTAGTTTCTGTTTTTTTTTTTGGTCCATCCAGCTAACTTTATTTTGGTTAACTGATATACTGCTTCCGTGACACTATTATCAGTAGCTCCTAAAAATTTCATAACTTTACAATATTTAGGTATGACATTTATTGGCTGAAGTATGTTGCTCACAGAAAAAAGTAAAATTTTTTTCAAAACATCTAGATTTTCAGGAAGTCTCTGCTTCAATTGCTTCAATAATGAGATAAGGAAATCTTGACAGAGTTTTCTTAAGTTGTTCTCTTCATTCTGTGTTAACAGTCCTTTTGTTTTTAAATCATCAATTTTGATTCGATTTAATATCCAAGGTGTGGCTTAGGAGCCAAATAGCTCTCTATAGTGCAGTGAGCAAATCAGCTTTAGAAGTTGGCAACACAGGTCTTTTACCGAGTGAAATAGCAAGGTGAGATCATCAAGTAATTTAACTTTATCAACAAGTTTAGATTCGAACAGTTTATTACTTTTTGCACTTCCATTAGAATAGATTATAAAAAGAGAATGAATGGCAAATTTTTTTCATCACTGTACATTCCATATAGTATTTCAGCTGTGTAGCACTTTTCACTTTGTCTTGTTTTTTTCAAAGTGTCTTTAACTTCAGCCATTGCTTCATAATTCTTTCAACAGCTGGTTAAATTGATAACCATCTAGTTTTGCAATCTGACAGAATTTTAGGTGGTGTGGAACCATCATTCAATGCTGTATATAATGTATTGTATTGCTGTTGTCTGACAAATGATTTGGAAAACCAGTAAAGTGTTTCAGCAATAAGGTATTCCAAATTCCTTGGTAAATATTTAGATGAAGCATGTGATAATGCTAGCTGCAATGAATGACGCATACATTTTATAAGTATTAACGATGGGTTAGCTTCCTTCAACTTGGCATAAACGCCATTGTTTATACCAACCATCACTGAGGCATTATCAGTACCAATTACAGCTAAATTCTTCAAGCCTAACTGTTTGCTGATTAAAAGGTCCTTCAGTTCCTAAACTATACTTTCTACACCACACTTTTCAAATTGAACTAGTCCAAGATTTTTTACAAATCGATAAAATGGTAACAGTTTGAAATTGTGCAGTGTCAAATTAAAAACATTGCGACTGTTACTTCAACTTTTGATGATTCATTTATCAGTATAGTTCTGAAAACAGATGTCAGCGGTGTAATATCTTTAAATGAAACTGCGGTTTTATGCTTTTTTAGTCTCTGCATGACTCTTTGAGTTTTGTATTTTCGCTTTAATTTCACACTTGCAGTACTTACAACAAGCAATATGCTTTGGTCATATCCCCAGTTTTTGCTCAATTTACTTTTGGCATTGATTTTTCAAAGCAACCACTAAGAAGGTGAGCTTATTTTTTTAAATCACAGAAAAAGAAACGCAAAGTCAGCACAGTGAGGATACGGTTGAAACAAAGTTAGTATGATTTACGCGCGCGTTTTTATTAATCAGTACATACGTTGGCCCCAGTGAGAGTTCAAAGTTAAAGTAATGGCAGTTGTGACAATGTACGTGCCAGACATGTAGTGAATAGTTTTTTATTAAACAATGAAAGAAACAACATAAAAGGTGTCAAATCCGGACAATTGGATTCAGAGTTTCTAACAGTCACATGAAAAAACGAAACGCAAAGGCATTGTCAGCACATGTGAGGGTTATTAGGGGTTGAAAGGGTTAGGGGTCAAAGGGTTAGGGGTAGGGTTAGTATGATTTACGCGCGGGTTTTAGGGGTAGGGATAATCAGTGCCGGGGCTGCCAGAGATGTTAAAATTTTGACGTAGGGTTTGGTGTGGCCGACAATCTGGCCCCAGTGAGAGTGTGCGGCTGGTGCCCAATCGTTGGCGAATGGTGCGTTTCACCAGTAGGATGGCAGTTGTGATAATGTACAGTGCCAGCTACCAAACCACGCATACTTATTGTCAGTGAATAGGTCTTTTACAACTAAGTCGTGCGTCGGAATAATTATGCGTCTAACGCCATGTTGCTTGACAATCACTGTTCGCAGTGCGCCCAAAGAAAACAAAAGGCTTCTATAAAATATATCTAACTCCATATGAAAGGTTTCTAGAAAAATATTTACGATCTAAACGTCAAAAACGGTATCTAAATGCAATGAAAAAGATCTAAATTTGGATATAAAAGATCCAAAGTGGCAACACTGGTTACGACTGTGAGTGACCGCCCTTAGACGGCCCCGGAAACAGCCGATAAAATTATTATTTGTGGCCGCAGCTTGTAAACAAATGCCAACATAAGCCAAATAGACGTTTTGTTTCTCTAACCACGGTCATGAGTTCAGAAAATATGGCTCAAGCCTCGCTCACAGGTTTTTAAATAATTTAATACGTCTTTTAGAATTGGGCACTGGCGTGGGGGTGGTTCCCGGGGCCCATTGCTTGCTGGGGGCTTCCTTGATTCCTTCGAAGTCAACGTAAAGTGCATCTGCCTGAGAGGCAGGGAACTAACAATCTGCATACAAATATGTCAGATATGTAAAACGATGTGGTAAAGGAAAGGCTCTATGGTAATGATGTCAGATGGACAGTGCAAAAGAACAGATAGGGAATCCATACACTGAAAGACTCATTCAGTGGGAAGGTGGGGGGGGGGGGGGGGTGGGGGTCTGGCTCTCCTCCGAACTTCGTTCCCACATTATGGCGGCCAAACAAATACCCTAACAGGGCCTCAGTCGTGTGTAAAATGCAGACTTCCTCTGATGAACATATTGCCTAAAAACTAGGATTACTGTCCATTAACAATTTCTAAAAACGCAACAATACACATGAAAATAGCCACATGGCGGGGAGACCACGCGCTTTGATGCAGGTTAGCGATAGTGTTTTTCTGATTAAAGTCACAGCTGAGCGTATCCCCCACGCCGCGCGTAGCGGTGCGGATGGGGGGCTAAACTAAATGGCTGGGACTTACGAGCAGCAGCTACCGCATCTCCTGCAACTTCCTCCAATTTATTTGCTCGTGAGTCCCAGCCATCTAGTTTAGCCCTCCTGCTGCCTGCAGCATGAAGGATACTGTCAGCGGTGCGGCATAGTAGCAGAAACAGGTCTGCAATTAACATATTACTGAGACCCTGTTAGAGTATTTGTTTGCCCTCGATAATATTGGCCCGTTATTTGGAGGCAATCTTAGTTTTGTCGTGATTTGTTCCTCGGCAGGCACTCCTGTTAGGGTATTTGTTTGGCCGCCATAATATGGGAACGAAGTTCAGAGGAGAGCTGGGACTAGAGATTCTGGAAGGTATTTAATATCGAAGGGGAAACAAAGGCAGACTTGTAATCAGGTTGCAGCTGGTACAAGTGGCATATCAACTCGGCTTTGGGTGCTGAAGAAGGGTGACAGAGTACATGTGGGAATTTCTGATTGCAGTGATGTTAATTCTTGATTCGGCTATCCTCCCAAAAACGGTCCCAAATTATCGACCCCGAAGATATACCCTAACAGGGCCTCAGTCACATGTAAATTGTGGACCTCTTTCTGGCGACTGCACGGCATACAGCGGAAAAGCTTCCGGCAAGTTAAAGTCATAGACAAGTATATCTCCCGCGGCACGGAGCAGGGCTAAACTAGATGGCTGGGACTCACGAGCAATAGCTACCGCATCTCCTGCAGCTTTCTTCATTTTTTGTTTGTTTTTTGCTTGTGAGTCCCAGCCTTCTAGTTTAGCCCCACTCCGCGCTGTGGGAGATACACTTGGCTTTGGTGTTATAATCACCAGAAAAAGGTCAGCAATTTACATGAGACTGAGGCCCTGTTAGGGTATATTTTCGGCCTCAATATGCTCGTGAGTCCAAGCCATCTAGTTTAGCCCCACTCTGCGCCGCTATGCACAGCGCAGAAGATACTCTCGGCATTGGCAGTATAATCACCAGAAAGAGGTCAGCAATTTACATGTGACTGAGGCCCTTAGTTAGTTAGTCTTTCCTCTTGTGTCGAGTGGGGCACATAGGGCAGAGGTCATGACTCTCCAGGCATGGCGGTTCGTTGCAATCCGTTGTAGGTCTCGGATGTTTGAGTGGCCCATGAGCGAGCCTTCCCTGATGATAGTTCTACGTAGGGTTTCCCTTGGTCTTCCACGAGTGAGGCCCTGTTAGGGTATATTTTCGGCCTCGATAATTTGGGACCATTATTAGAAGGATAGCCCTTGATTGATTGATTGATTCATTCATACTCACATACACAAAACCTCTCAGAAGCATATTCATCATCCCTGTTTGCTGCCAGTGTCAGTCATCATCACTCATACTTCACAGATTACCATTAGTCATTGTCTTGAAGCAGCTCCATTGCAAAATGTCGCCCTCATCACAGCCTGCATGAAAGAAACTCAATCTCTCCCATATTTGCGCTTGTCGACCGTTGCTTCTCTTTCCCCGCAACATGCCTTCTGCTGCTGTCTGCCTTTTTAGAATGTTTCGGGACCTTTATCCTCCTTATCTATCAGAAAATAGAACAATCCACTTATAAACAGTGAAGCAGAAGAAGTTGAAGAACTGCATACTTCGGAAGTAACTATACACCAGATGGAGATTCTGAGAAAGTCATAGCATCAAGACTGCCACAAAGAAACAATAAAAAACAGTCAGTTACTGCCTTTATTGTACAATTTTTGTGGTGTGGGGCGGGGGGGGGGGTTCTTAGAGTTGCATGGCTAGTGCTGTCACCAGACTGTGCAACTGAGAATTTCATTTTGCCCTTGACAGAAAAAATCCCCAACCTTACCTAGGATTCGAACCTGTGTCTCCTTTATGAGAGCCAGTGTTCTAACCATTTAGCCAGCCACTCCTCACAGAATGAGGCATTGAGACTAAATGAAGCAAACCAAATGTTTGCTGTGCTTAACCATGTATGGAAGTTAAAAGGAAAACAAAATTGAGAAAATACACCAAGGGTGTCTTGGGAATACAGCTGTACTACAGATAGTGTTTGAAAATGACAATGGGTGTTACATACACAATAAAATAAATGTCTCAGGAGAGTCCTGTGAATATTGTGACCAAACAAGATCACAGATGAAGAACTGGAGAGGAAAAAGGTCTTTATCATAGGCAAAAGACAAAGATGGTGATGGCTTGGACATGTTTGCAAAATGCTTTGTGACACTTTATCTTGCACTGCTCTGAAATGGATGACAGATGAAAAAAAGAGAGAGTGACATTGTAACTCTAAGTCTTAGGGGGTTTAGCATCAGAGGCCTAGAGGGTGGTACATAGAAACATATAATCAGTACATCTTCATTCACTGGGCTTCTGGATAGGAAACTATGAACGTATGCTTCCTTGGGACTGAAAGAGTTAAGAAAACAAAGAAGAGCAGTAGAAAGAAAAATGAATGAGGGTAAACTGATAAGGTATCTCATGGGCAGAAAAACAGCTTCTTGCAGCTTCTTCTTCTGCTATTGTGCAGTCCATATCTTCTCGTGTACCATATAAGTGTGTCTTCATTGTGATTGGAACAGGCCAGATTGCGTCTCTGTTGTCAGCATACAGTTAATAATGTTGGAGCACATGCTCAGCATTTTCGTGTGCCAAGTTGCAATGGCATGTTTCCTACGCCAAAAAGTTTGAACATATGTTGACGAAGTATGTTGTGCCTTGTCCTTAATCTGAATATTATACATTGTGCCTAGAGAGGCGATAGTAATGGATATCATTTATGAATTCCTTTTGTGTCAGCAGTAACATATATAGGATATAGATTGATTTAGAGCTCTTGATGTTATCTCTGCACTACTTGGTGTTGAATTGATGTATGACAAGTTAGATATTGTGAGGGCCCTTTATGAGTGGGTGAACAGTGCGGAGGTGCAGATAGATCATTACGGTCTGAGGAGAATGGCGCTGCGAGGAGTTACCAGGTTATTTGGCCGACGCTCAACACTCAGGGGAAGGATGATACGGATATACAATTAGACAGTTACTGGTATCATCGGAATTGAAACTCTTCGCTTGCTGCTGAAGATGGTGACTGAGCACTTATGGGAGTGTCCTGAGTGCTGTGATGTCGATTCTTAATTCAACATTCAGTGTTATCCTCCCACTTGTTCACTGCCTATCTTTTGCTGGCCTACCTTAAACTTTCAGGATATGTATTTTATTCTTACTAGATGGGCTTGAGGAGAGAATTCGCCAGCTTCAGAAAGAGAAAGCTGATCTTGAAAGTGATTTTGGACTCAAGCGGGCAAAGTTTAAAGACATTTTTGTGGAACAACAAGGTGCATTATTTATGAGATTGTTCATATGTTTTTCTTAAACGATAAAAAGACCACAATAAATACTGCCTTAGAGGTGTGGAATGTGAAACTTATATGTAGTCTTTTTCTTTTTTTTTTTCTTAGCATTTATTAGCTGTAACTCGGGCAGAAAGTTGTGGTTGTTCATCTACTTCTGGACTTTGATTTGGCTCCAGAGCTTGATTTACATGCACATCCGTTTTAGAGATCTGGCTTAGGAAGGAGGGGCAGGGTCTGAGCAACATGAAGATGGGCACGGGATATAAGTGATTCCTTGAATAGGAAAGTACATGAGATGGAAGAGCTGGTGAGAGACTGAGTTTCTTTCTTTCAGTCGATGATGAAAGCGACATTTCTGCAGTCGATGATGAAAGCGACATTTCTGCAAAGGACCTACTACATGATGAGGATAAGACCCTGACATTATGATTAAAATCTACCAGCTCCCTTCTTCATTGCTATATCTTCCTTGAAAGACCTCTGTTCATTTTGTGAAGCAGCACCACGCAGAGCCAATCATGGTTAGAAAAATATGCTTTGAATGAATTAAAAAATTAATTTAAGTCATTGATAGGCACGACCATAGGTGTGTGATGTGTTGTTCTTTCAATTGTGTGAACTGCATCAGCATTGTGAGCCTTCTTCTTGACTGTACCTTGTGACAAGAGTCCATATAATGTCTGGGACATCTCACTGACACAGCTTCTAGTCTTATGACCTCTCTTCTAGCAGTGTGTCCATACCAAAGTATACCCCTTTTATAAGGTTTAAAGGACCTGCTGCAACCTACAAGAGGAGAATATTAGGATTAAGGTTTCTGGTAGATTGCTGATGAGGTCTTGTGAATGTTTACTGTTAGTTTGTTCTGTCCACAATTCCTTGTATTTTCCCTTGTCAAGTGATCTGGTTTCTGGAAATGTTAATGAATGGGTATGTTGTTTCTCTAGTACTGCATGCAAAGACCCTTGAACATTTCTACAGCTGTTATCCAAAACTTGATTGGACACACATATACCCCAATGGATCATTGGAGGGAGCAAGAAAAAAAACGGAGGAGCTGGATTGGTCATCATGCTGCAAGATCATGTCCTCCAAGACTGTCACAAATGCAACATATCAAGGCAAAACTTTTGGCCAAAAGAAACATCGGTGCAAGTCAAAACTTTACGGCTCACTGAGTGAATTACAAAAGACAGTGAAGTTTATACTAGAGACAACATTGCAGATATACATTAATTTATTTCAAGCGAACGAAAAAGAAGAAAAAGAAGATTGCTGTGATGATTACATGCCAGTTGTAAATATTCAACACATTTGTGAGGTTCCACCAATACTTGCTGAAGTTGAAGATACACATTGTCGTAGCATTCACTGGCAGTAAACTCAGGTGGAAAGTTCTGGTTGCTCTTCCACTTTTACTTTGCTCTTGTTCCACGACTAGAATTTTTGCGCACCTGTATTAAGGATCTGGCTTATTTGTATGCAGACTGCTGTTTCCTGGCCTCTCAGGCAAAGGCACTCCGACTTCGAAGGAAACAAGTATACTTAGTCAACTTTTATGATATGCTTTTTTTTAGGGGAAAGTGAGAAACAAAACAAAAAATTGACCACGTTCCACCTACTGTGAGCATAATCGGTTATATTTGTGGTCTGGTTTCCTTGTGCCAATTATGTTTTCTAAGAAGTGTAAATTGAACCAAAACTAGTGGCTTGGAGCAGTACTCTAGTACCTGGTGAAGGTAGTTGGGGATTGGGGGCTGGTATGCACTATACACACCCCCACACATACATAGAAATATATGTACAATTACATACATATATATATATATGTATATATTTATATACACACACACATAACATACATGTCTGCGTGCCTACATGAACATGCATGTATACGTGTTTGCATACACACACATGTATATATACACACACATGTATATATATACACACACACGCGTGCATATAGTGAGACACGATTTGATTGCAGAGACTGTACTTCAAGGAATATTGGAGGTAAGTCAAAGAAGAGGAGGGCAACGAGGAACTCGAATGACAACATCAAGAAATGGACAGGACTAAATTACACTTATTTATTAAGGGAAAGATGGCGGTTTTTGTATAGTAGTGCTTTGATCGATACACCTCCACGATCCTAACGGGTCAACGGTTATTGTAGTAATAACAGTACGGGGCTGAAGGAGTTGAAATTGAGATTTATAGCTCTGCCACATGTCCACCCAGCGGGCAGGAGTTAGTGTGCTGACCATGGCAATAGCACGGCCACATGTCCACCCAGCGGGCAGGGGTTAATGTGCTGACCATGGCAATAGCTCTGCCACATGTCCACCCAGCCGGCAGGAGTTAGTGTGCTGACCATGGCAATAGCACGGCCACATGTCCACCCAGCGGGCAGGAGTTAGTGTGCTGACCATGGCAATAGCACGGCCATATGTCCACCCAGCGGGCAGGGGTTAATGTGCTGACCATGGCAATAGCACGTCCACATGTCCACCCAGCGGGCAGGAGTTAGTGTGCTGACCATGGCAATAGCACGGCCATATGTCCACCCAGCGGGCAGGGGTTAATGTGCTGACCATGGCAATAGCTCTGCCACATGTCCACCCAGCCGGCAGGAGTTAGTGTGCTGACCATGGCAATAGCACGTCCATATGTCCACCCAGCGGGCAGGAGTTAGTGTGCTGACCATGGCAATAGCACGGCCATATGTCCACCCAGCGGGCAGGAGTTAGTGTGCTGACCATGGCAATAGCACGGCCATATGTCCACCCAGCGGGCAGGGGTTAGTGTGCTGACCATGGCAATAGCACGTCCACATGTCAACCCAGCGGGCAGGAGTTAGTGTGCTGACCATGGCAATAGCACGGCCATATGTCCACCCAGCGGGCAGGGGTTAGTGTGCTGACCATGGCAATAGCACGGCCATATGTCCACCCAGCGGGCAAGGGGTTAGTGTGCTGACCATGGCAATAGCACGGCCATATGTCCACCCAGCGGGCAGGGGTTAGTGTGCTGACCATGGCAATAGCACGGCCATATGTCCACCCAGCGGGCAAGGGGTTAGTGTGCTGACCATGGCAATAGCACGGCCATATGTCCACCCAGCGGGCAGGGGTTAGTGTGCTGACCATGGCAATAGCACGGCCATATGTCCACCCAGTGGGCAGGGGTAAGTGTGCTGACCATGGCATAGCATGGCCAAATGTTGGTAGACATCAGCAGATAAACCGCAAGAAGCCAGTATGAATACGTCCTGGAGGCGAAGGAGAGAATGCGAGATACCCATTAAGCAGAGATGGTGCGTGATGATAATGATGATATGGTGGTGGTGGTAATAATGATGTTGATGGTTTTGACAGTGGTATAGAAAACTGACTGTTCAGAGAGCGATGGCAAACTACTTAATGTAAAATTGCACAGTGAAACCATGAACAGCTACACACACAAAATGCTGCGGTTGGTTCTGCAACAGATACGCAACTAAATTTTTAATATCAGAATATTAACACTTTCATTTTGAAATTGTATTTTCTGCAGAAGAATTAAGTAAAGAGCGGGAAAAATGCTTGGCTAATGAAGCCAGAATAGAAGCAATGGGCGAAGAACTGTCGAACATGCGAACAGAAATGGACAAACTGTTTTTAGAGCTTGAGAGTGTGCGAACAGCAGCGGCCTTGTCTGAGTCCAGTAAACAAGAGGAGATCAACTGTATTGTTGCACATTATCACCAGGAAGTTGTCAGCTTGCAGCAGCTTCTGAAAGGTATTTGTCAATATTTGTTTGTTGTTGCTGCCTTGCAGGGTAAGTCTCTTTAGACAACAGCTATTGGAGTCAAACCATATTCAAACCGGTGGAAGGCAATGGGAAACCACTGCTGTATTTTCCCTAGTAAATCATGCCTCAAAATATTACAAATTCTTTAACATGTTGTGACCACTGGAAAGATTTGTGGAAGGAGGGATAGAGGAAGACAACGATAAAAGATTCTTGACAGTCTTGTTGCATGGCATGGAGGTGTTTTGGCAAACAAACTAATACATGCTGCAGGAGATCGCAGATTGTGGAGAGGCATGATGGCCCACGCCAGTTGGCAAGGCACCTGATGATGATGATGATGATGATGAAGTCCTGAAGTTTAGAGAGCGAAATTTAAAGTCTTTTTTTTTTTCTGCCTTTCTAACCCCTTATAGAGCATTGGCCCTCAGACAACTAACGTCAAGTCTTTTTATCCTTCGCCATCGCATGCAATCCTCTCTATGTCCTCTGTTTTTTGCCTTTTCTGTGGTTGGTTGGTTTTTGTGGCTTTTGTTTTTACAGGATGAAGTGGCCAACCTCAAACCCAACCTCAAGCCCAACCCTACCCTTAGTCGCCTCTTACAACATGCCTGGTAGGGTGCAGTGTTACAATTCTTTGCTTCCCGTGAGGGCCCAGTTGACACACATGCAATTTATAGTCCTTAAAAATGTTGAAATCACCTTGGCTGCCTGGTCTATCCAGTCCCAGATGGGTGCCAGGTAAAGTAAGTAAGTTAGTGAATGACCCTTTTCTTTGCCAATAGGCATTACTTACTTACTTTGTCACAGTTGTTGATTTGGTAGCCCAAAAAAATACCCCCCTATAATTTACCATGTTCATTCCTGCTAAAAACAGCTTTGGTTATAATTATGGTCTAGTTTTATTTGTACAAGTTCAGTGGCTTAAATTGTTTGTAGTACCAGTAGTTAGGGCTTATTGAAGTCAGAGTTTATCTGCCTGAAAGACAAGGAACCATCAGTCTGCATACAAATAAACCACATGTGTAAAACAGATTTGTTTGCAAAACTCAAGTTCTGGAACAAGACTAGAGTTTAGAAGTGGATGAAGATGTGAACTTTTCACAGGAGTTTACAGCCATTGACCACTTAGAAGAAGAGGCCTTCCTGTTGACCACAAGGAAGAATAAGAGATCTCCCAAGAACCAGTCATTGATCACTAGGAAGAATAAAAGACCTTCCAAGAAAACAGCCGTTGACCTCTAGGAAGAATAAGAGATCTTCAAAGAAAACAGCAGTTGATCAATAAGAAGAATAAAAAGACCTTCCAAGAAAACAGCCGTTGACCTCTAGGAAGAATAAGAGATCTTCAAAGAAAACAGCAGTTGATCACTAAGAAGAATAAAAGACCTTTCAAGAAAACAGCCGTTGACCACTAGGAAGAATAAAAGATCTTTCAAGAAAACAGCCCTTGACCTCTAGGAAGAATAAGAGATCTTCAAAGAAAACAGCCGTTGATCACTAAGAAGAATACGAGATCTTCAAAGAAAACTTCTTCTTCTTCTGTTCAGCAGCTGTAAACTCTGACAGAAATTTCTGGTTTTCCGTCCACCTCTGGACTTTAGTCTCGTTCCAGTACTTGAGTTTTGCAAGCACATCCATTCTACAGAACTGGCTTATTTATCTGCAGGCTGTTGGTTCCTCACCTCAGGCAGATGCACTCCGACTTTGAAGGAAACCACTAATTAGTCGACTATTATGACATACTTGTTAGGGAGGCAAAGGGTCTTTACTTGTTTCCCATCATAATGAGTCCCTGGAACCCACATGGGGAGTCACTACATTGAAACAAATACTCAATTTTATTTCAGAAGCAGCAGAATCAGCAGCTGTGACACCTGCAGCGCAGAATGAATCAGAGAAAAATAAAGTTTCTCGCAGCGTAAATTATGAGGAGCAGATCCAGGAATTAAGGAACAGACTTAGCCAAGAGAAGTACGTAGCAATGAATATATAAAGATATTTAAAGAAAGTTGTCAGTAAACTCAATTTTGAGAGCGTGCATCTTCCCTGTAGCAACATACGAATGTGAGTCGTGGACTATATCCCAGTCCTTAAGAAAAAGAATAGGGGCTTTTGTGCTGAAATGCTATAGAGAGATTCTCAGAATATCTTGGACAAACAAGAGGAGAAATACCGACATCTTGAAAGATCTGAACATCAAGGAAGATTGGCTAATAAACAGCATCCTGTCTTGGAAGCTGAAATATTTTGGTCATATCAAGCGCTAAAACGGATTGGAAAAAATAATAGCAGAAGGCATGGTACCAAGAAGGAGGCGCAGAGGCTGACAAACATGAAGATGGGCACAGGATATAAGTGACTCCTTGAGTATGAAAGTACATGAGGTGGGAGAGCTGGCGAGAGACTGAGTTTCTTTTAGGTAGGCCGTGATGAGAGCGACGTTCTGCAAAGGACCTGCTACATGATGATGATGATGACAAGTCAGTAAACACAGAGTGAAGCATTAAACACAATACATTTCCTTGGGTCTTAAAACAATATTTATCAGTCGACTGATGTCATGACGCTAGAGCCTCAATCACAGAGACTACAGGAGAGATTTGACACCAGCATGACTGTCTTCCTCTTCTTCACGTTCACCAGCTGTAAACTCTGGTGGAAAGTTCTGGCTGTTTGTCCACTTGTGGGCCGCAGTCCTGTTCCAGAACCTGAGTGTTGCATGTGCATCCGTTTGACAGATCTGACACATTTGTGTGCAGACTGCTGGTTCCTTGCCTCTCAGGCAGATGCACTCTGACTTCGAAGGAAGCTTCCAATTGGTCGACTCTTATGACATGCTTTTGGGTAGGCAGTGGGTCTATTCTTGTTTTCCCTATAATAGGGCCCCGGAACCCAAACAGGGAGTCATGAAGCTATGTACTTCACAAGTAATCTCCCCTACCTGCTATTTTTTAGTAAATGAATCCAGTCCTGGCCTCCAAAATGGAACAGGGGTGCTAAAAAAAGCCAATCCTCTTATCAGCGCATCTCATAAACACATCAATGTAGTCAAGCCACTTATGGGGAATGAGACTCTACCAAAGTGCTGGGTTTGCAGCTTTCCAGGGTGTAAGGGTTAACTTGAATTATTTTAGATAATGTTGGCATCTGTGGTTTACGGGTTGTAAATGTGATTTCATAATTCTACAGATTCCACCTTTGTTTTCTGTCCTCTTTTTGCAGCAGGAGTTGATTGGCATATCTTCTTAAATTACCAATCCATGACATGCTTAATGTACCCAGCAGGAGTTGATTGGCATATCTTCTTAAATTACCAATCCATGACATGCTTAATGTACCCAGCAGGAGTTGATTGGCATATTTTCTTAAATTACCAATCCATGACATGCTTAATGTACCCAGCAGGAGTTGATTGGCATATCTTCTTAAATTACCAATCCATGACATGCTTAATGTACCCAGCAGGAGTTGATTGGCATATCTTCTTAAATTACCAATCCATGACATGCTTAATGTACCCAGCAGGAGTTGATTGGCATATCTTCTTAAATTACCAATCCATGACATGCTTAATGTACCCAGCAGGAGTTGATTGGCATATCTTCTTAAATTACCAATCCATGACATGCTTAATGTACCCAGCAGGAGTTGATTGGCATATCTTCTTAAATTACCAATCCATGACTTGCCTAATGTACCCAGCAGGAGTTGATTGGCATTTCTTCTTAAATTACCAATCTATGACAATCTATGAAATAACATTTGTATATTTGTGTGTGTGTGTGTGTGTGTGTTCCTATCTTTGAAGGCTTGTGAACAAACATGCATTTATTACTTGATTTCCTTGTTTTCTACTTGGTTTTTTTTTCATTCCTTAGGGAGAGCTTCCTGTCTGCAGTAGCCAAATCAATCAAACGTGTGGGAAGCATTGCGTCAGCAAACACTGCTAGTAAAGAACCTGGTGAGAATCTGGAAGAAAGTATGAGAAAGGTATGAATATTATACGTTTATGCTTTGTCATGTTGTTCCCTGTGTGGGGTCTTAGGCCCAATTTTTTTTTTGGGGGGGGGGGGGGGGGAGGATTGGACCTACAGCCAACAAGGAGTTGATTACTCTACTTCCCCCACCCAACAAGCATATAATAAAATTTAATGAATTAGGGGTATTACCTTTGAAGTCGGAATGTATCTGCCTGAAAGGTGAGAATCCAGCAGTTTGCATACAAATGAGTCAGATTTCTGAAATGAACATGCATGCAGAACTAAAGTCCTGGAAAAAGATGAACAACCAGGACTTTCAGCCAAAGTTTGCAGCCGATGAACACCAAGAAGAAGAGGTTCTTGTTCTCTGTGACGAATTTGCCAAAAGTACACCGGCAAAAAAGGGGCATAATTAATATCCAACTCTGGTCATCCTGTTGTGCCATAATAAGTCACAAATGTGATTCATGACAATTGCTGCCCAGGTTATGTGGTTATCTCTACAGATGGCTCTGTGTTGAGAAGCAGATGAAGTTCAAGGGGCTTCTTAGCAAAAGCAAGTGGATGTCACTTGGTGCAACAAAGCCTGGCATGTGACACCATAACATCCAGTTTGAGAATGAAGGTCACTGCAGCCTTCCGCTGGCTTAAGAGCCAGCTCTGCACACATGTGTTAGCTATGTAACTGACTCGCAGAGTATACTGAGAAAAGTGGAGACAGTTATGCTCCATGCAGAGTAGCAAGCATAGCTTCAGAGGTCCTGGGTAGTTAGCATCCTTCTGATATTGTTTCCAGGTTATGCCGGTGTGTTGGGAAATGAACTAGCAGATAAACTGGCTGATGCTGCACTACTTTTGGTGTTAAACTGTTGCACCACAAGCCAGATGTAAGGGTCCTGTGGGGACAAGTGAACATTGTGGAGGAACAAATAGGTCATTACTGTTTACAGAGAACTGTGCTGCAAGGAGTGACCAGGAGATCTGGCTGATGCTGAAAACTCAAGGGAAGAGTGAGATGGATAAACAGTCAGACTGTTACTGGTACCATCGGACCTTGAACTCTGTAAATTTCTACTGAATATTGGAATGGAGCGCTTATGGGAAAGTCCTGATTGCCATGGTGTTGATTCTTGATTCAATATTCAGGTCACAAAGGACGTGCAGTCTAGTCCTCTATTTTGTTCTGTCTTGAACAAACTCCTATGCCATGGATGGAATCCATTCCAGCACCTGTAGCCTCTCTCACCTTGTCTTGAGTTTCCCTTGCATGTCAGAGATTTTCTTGGACGTCTTCATGTCCTCAGTCCATTTGTTTCCCATTTCACTGCCTGTTTGGTGATTCTCTATTTCTTCTCATGAAGAAATATTGCCAGTTTCTTTGTCTTAGAACTGCTGATACAACGGTTGTCCAAAACATATCCAAATAAAAGACCATTTTTTTAAACAAAAAGTCTGATGATGTTAGACTCTCCACTTCAAGTAGTGGCTTGTGGGTCCTGTGGCTTGTATTTATAGCCTGAACATATTAGAGTGTCATGGACCAAGAAGAGAAAAATACTGACATTTTTAGGATCTGAACATAGAGCTAGCTGGCTGCTTATGGACATTATCATTTCACAGAAAGTAAAATACTTTGGCCATATTAAATGCCATAATAGTATTGATAGTACAGAGTTTATGGTTCCTGTAAAAAAAAAGAGGCAGGAGATGGCCAGCATGATGGCGGACACAGGATATGAAGGACTTCTTGGGTATAAAAGTTCCTGAGGTGGGGTAGTTAGCAGGGGAGTGAGAGGATATCTGTATCAGGATGAGAGCAATATTCCGCGTAGGTCCTGCTGCATGATGGTAATGAACCAAAGAACCCAAACAAGTTGTCTACAGTATGTGTACATATTGAGTTTGTGAATAGTTAGTTAGTTAGTCGACAGATTATCCTTATTGCACATTGAACTGTTCAGTCCCTAAGTGCTCGGATCCCCTCCTTAGTAAATCCTGCAGTAGGTAGTGACTCATGACACCAGTTCTGTGCTGGTTTCTTATTCTTCTTTGTCTTCCTGCATAGTACTCTTGTCTGGCCACACCCCTTTTAACATGTTTTTTTTTCTCAGTCTGGTCATTGTTGCAGATTCACAATCGTTACTTGTTTTTAGCAAACGTCTTACTTCTCGTAGAGATTCCCTGAATGTAATGCATTTGTCACTTTTTAAAATGATTATTTCCTTCTTTAGACAGATTTTGTGATCTTCAGGAAGTGTTTTTATAAAGCATCATAATTATTTTAAAAAGTACCATTTATGTCATTTCATTTGTCTTCTAACTCCACCAGCAGCAGCTGGCCAAGTTCTTATATGGATGACCCAGGTTCAATCCTTGGTAAGGGATACAGATTTTTTTTTTTCTGTCATGGAGAAAAAAAAATCATGACCAGTTCATGACAGTTGCACTAGGCATGAGACATTAAGTCCTCAGGCTCACGACCGCTCTTGTTCTACAAAGTCCTAAAGTGGCAAATACAGGCAATGCCCTTGTTCTACAATGCCCTAAAGTGGCAAATACAGGCAGTGCCCTTGTTCTACAACACACTAAAGTGGCAAATACAGGCAGTGCCCTTGTTCTACAACACCTCAAAGTGGCAAATACAGGCAGTGCCCTTGTTCTACAACACCCTAAAGTGGCAAATACAGGTAGTGCCCTTGTTCTACAACACCCTAAAGTGGCAAATACAGGCTGTGCCCTTGTTCTACAACACCCTAAAGTGGCAAAAACAGGCAGTGTCCTTGTTCTAAAACACCCTAAAGTTGCAAATATAGGCAGTTCCCTTGTTCTACAACACCCTAAAGTGGCAAATACAGGCAGTGCCCTTGTACTACAACACCCTAAAGTGGCAAATATAGGCAATGCCCTTATTCTACAACATCCTAAAGTGGCAAATACAGGCAGTAAAGACAATCTCTCTCCCCCTGTTTGGGTTCATGGGTCCTTTTATGGTATATCCACTGCCCCCTAACAAGCTTGTTGTAAAAGGTGACAAAGTAGGGGTGTATCCTTTGTGGGCACAATACAGTGATGGCAGTTCACTTATTCATTCATTCATTCATTCATTCATTCATTCATTCATTCATTCATTCATTCATTCATTCATTCATTCATTCACTCATCTGTGACCACCAGACAAGTAGGCTAGCTATTGTGCTACATCATCATCATCATCATCATGTGCCCTGCCAATTGGCTTAGGCTCTCATGCTTCTCCACAGATCACGATCCCTGGTTGACTGGAACAGCTCTCTTGATGATATTCCTCCATGCCATCGTTTTAGCCCATCCAGCATCATCTCTCTTGGTCTGCCTCTACCCCTTTTTTCACTGATCTTTCCAGTTGTCACAATGTTCTCCAATGTCTCTTTTCTTATTATGTGCCAAAGAACAGTGTTTGTCTCTTTCTTATTGTCGCATATAGAGATCTACTTTCATTAGCCTCTTTCAAGCAACCGTTGTGAGTTACTCTGGCCGTCCAAGGTGTGCTACATCAGCATTCCATACATAAATGAAGCATAATTTATGTTTGCTGTTTCTCTTAGGCCCAGGAAGAGTCTCAGATACTGAAGTCGGTGGTTATGCCTCTTGAGAATGAAATTAAAACTCTGAAAGCCAAACTGGAGGAGACCGAAGCCAAATTAGCAGAAACTGGGAAAAAGAGCAGCCCTCTACAGGTTAAAAACAGATTTAACGAATCAGTTTATTTATCACCAAATATCATGACTATTTTTTAAAACAGTTTATCACCAAATATCATAACTATTTTTAATAACAGTTTATTTATCACCAAATATCATGACTATTTTTAATAACAGTTTATTTATCACCAAATATCATGACTATGTTTTAAAAACAGTTTATTTATCACCAAATATCATGACTATTTTTTAAAAACAGTTTTTTTATCACCAAATATCATGACTATGTTTTAAAATAGTTTATTTATCACCATATATCATGACTGTGTTTTAAAGCAGTTTATGTATTACAAATATCATGACTATTTTTTAAACAGTTTTTAAAAAAAAGTAAGATCTGTTGAAACTTTCTGGTTGTATCAGCTGGTTATGGGTGCCCTAAATATAACGTCTTTGAAGATTGAACAGGGTATCAGAGATTGCCGTGTTGGTCTGCCATCCAGACGGAGATTCTTTATTCTCAGGATAGTAATGGTAAACCTTTAGGTAGCACCTGGAGGGGACAGAATGATTGATTTGTATATCATGTAAGTAAAGGGAAGGTCGCTTTACATGCCAGCGGCACATCGCACATGTAAGATTAGACTTGTAATTTTATAGACTAATCGGCACTCAGTGGGTGATGTCAACAGAACTTTGCCTGGTACCCATTTAAGGTTGGGTTGACCTAAAAGCCAAGGTCATTTAAAAAAAAAAAAACAGATTCTATGCGGATTTAAACTCATGACTTTTGTATCCGCATTCGAGCATCTAGCTGCTACACTGTGGCGGCTCCCAGTTGATCAAGTGCTATATGTTAAAATATGTAGCTGGATTTCTGAAATGTGCTCAGACCAAACCTAACAGATATGATGGAACACCATACATTCCTTATCACATGTAGGCTATAGCAGATCAAGCATAGTTAGTTAGCATTGTTTGAGGCAGAAAGAGTTAATGCTGATAAGGCTATAGTGACCAGCATTGTTTAATCATTTTAATGTCTGTATAATATCACCCTGCAACTCTGTGGCTTAGAGGTTAGTGAACGCAGTTAACACTTTCATGATTCCCAACTACTGGAGTTCGTCTCCCTGTGGTGAACGAGAAACAAAATATGTTCTCCTGGTTTTAGAATAGTGGTACAAGAGTTGATTGTCCCTACCTTGGTCTTAACCTTCTGCTGGCCAGACAGAATTCGAAATCAGACTATTGCTAGGAATAAAACCAGTCTTACAGGTCATCAAAGAACAACAAATGAGGTGGTTAGGACACCTAACAAGAATGCCCTGGTACTATCTAACACAGCGAGCCACACTGAAACATTAGAACTGGTATAGATCGAGCGGAAGACCTCAAGAAATATGGAGTGATGGCATTAAGAACAGCCTTACAGAAATAAACATCAATCTTAATAGTGCTTTGACAGAGCTCATCAAGAAACATTACATCTTCCCCCAACACTTCATTGAAGTACAAGGTTGAAGAGATGAAGAAGAAGCAGAGGAAGAAGTAGCAGAAGGTACAAGAGTGCAAGTTGTGTTAAACTAGTCTGAATGTGATAGTCTAGATCAAGTGTGACCTTCTAGGAAGTTTGAAAACACTGACTGGTTGAAAACACTGTGACTGGCTGAAAAACACTGTGACTGGTCCAGCAGTGGCTTATTTCATTGCTCGTAGAGAATAAAGAGATCTCACGAACTGACTAGAATTAAAGGGACAGTACCCAAGAATATCAACAAAATTTGCACCGTCAGTATATGTGAAGTTAAGAACAAAGTGAAAGCCATCAAAGAAGAAATGAGAGGATGCAAAATATGAATATTAGGATTAGCAGACAGTAGACAACAAATCAAATGGTTTGGCCATGTGATGAGATTGGCATCAGACAGGGCACCACAGAGAGCAAAATAATACAGATACAGCGGTAACAGATTCAGAGGCCGACCACGCAGAAGATGGACCGCAGAAATATCAGAGACACTAAAAAGCACTTTAAAGGAAGCGAACGTAAGCACCTGTTCTAGAGATCTCTTTCTGCCCTGACACCGTGAGACCGAGGCATTCTAGGAGTAGAGAGAAGAAAAAGAAAAAGAAGAAGATACCAGAGTCCCACTTGTGGTGATCTGCAACAGTAGCAAAGTTTGGGATGATTGGGTGGGAGTTGGTTGAGGACCTGTGCTCCATTGGGGGATACAGAGCTAAGAAGAAGAAAAAGAAAACAATTTTGACCTTCTTAGTCATTTTCTCTTGAGGGGGGAGGAGGGAGGGGTAGATAAGCTTCCTGATCGGTTGTGCTGGCAAATGATGGATAAAGGTGCCAACTGCAAACTTTGGGGGATGTCACTATTTAGCTGTGCTAGGCAGATGATGCCAGAATAGGCACAGTGGCGAGAACAACCCATCCAATATTGTCATTGTCCTCACAAAAAGAAAGTGCAACCTACTGTGAGTATGTATGCATAGAAAAATAATGTAAGCACAGAAAACATATGGTTGTTAACAGACATAAAGGCCACATGAATAGACAGTAAGAGAAGAATCTTAGAAAATGAGCTTGAAAAATTTATATGTAGAGTTAACATTTTATAAATTCTCTGAGTTAGTTTTTGAAAACTTGAAATGTGCTAAATATTGATTTGTTTCAATAGGGCAGCACAGAATCAAGAGCATATGATTACAGGGGCCAGATATCACCATCCTTGCCAGATTTAGATTCTGTTACAGATATGAATGAAAAGGTGAGGGTCAGAATAGTTTCCTTCACATAACCTGTCTGGAGCAGTAATTACTATTGATCTAGACTTTCTTGGCTTATCTGTTCCAATGGGTTTGAATTTGCTTATATTTTCAGTTGTTGTTGAGCCATTAGTTAATGTGAATTCTTACATTATCCTGTCTTTCTTTGTTCCTGTTTAGTTTCCTTCTTCTTTCTCTTTTTCTTCTTCTTTTATCCCCCAGTGGATATGTCCCATTTTTTTAGTACAGCTCATGGAATGAAAAGCAAAATGTATAGAAACCAGCTACCCAAATTAAGTTATTATCTTCTTCTTTTTTTTGTTCTCTACTCCTGGAATGCCTCGCGGCACCAGAGCAGGAAGAGATCTCTGGAACGGGCCCTTCTGTTCGTTTTGTATAAAGTACTTTTCAGTGTCTTTGATATATCTGCGGTCCATCTTCTGCATGGTCGACTTCGGGCTCTGTTACGGTTGTATCTGTATAAAATTGCTCCGTATGTTGTACGTCTGATTCCAGTTTTGTTACATGGCCAAACCATTTGAAGTGTTGTCTGCCTTTAAAGTTCAGTATTGGTTCTGTGCCGACTCTCCTCCTGATATCATCATTCCTAAGTCGATCTTTTCTCATTACACCCACATATTATTGTGTTATGGCCTAGAATATATATAAGCCCAGCACTTTATATAGTTTGAGCCACCGTGGTGTAGCGGCTAGGTGGACTTTTGTTTTCAGAAATGACCTTGGCTCCCAGGTTGATCCGGCCCTAAATGGGAAGCTGAGAGGTCAAGGTGGCTGACTACTCAATGTTGACCACATAACCCATCGAGTGATGATATAAAATATAGGTTTAGCCCTATTTAGCCAATTCACCTGAAGGTGTGAAAAAAAAAGTTCTTAACTGTAGTTGGTGTTCACATTTATTTTATATTCTTTGACTTATTGTTTTATTTCAGGTTGAAAGGCTTTTTAGCTACCTGAAATCTGAGAAGGCGGCTCGGAAAGATCTAGAAATGTATGTTGCGGTTCTCAGCACACAGAAGAGTGTGTTGCAAGAGGAGGCAGATAAAGTCAACGGTGAATTACAGGATGGTAAGAAGTATTTATATAGTCCATGGCATGTGGTGGTGGTGATCACGTCCGTCCGCAGCCTTTTGTCTTGTGTGCTGCAAATCATTTCTGCTACAGATGTTCTTCCATGCCGTGATGCCAAATTGTTCAACATCTTCTCTCTGGGACACCCTCTGCCAATCCTCCTTCAATGTCCCCTCTACATTTCTTCTTTTTCTTCATGTTTACTCTTTGTAAACTCCAGCAGAAAGTTCTGGACTTATGACTTGTTCCAGAACTTGAGTTGTATGTGCATATCCACTTTACAGAGCTGGCTTATTTGTATGCAGACTGTTGGTTCCTTGCCTGTCAAGCAGATGCGCTCTGATTTAAAAAGTAAAAACAAAAAAATATGTAGTAAAATACCCTTTATAATGTCTTCAGGTGTATTGGACATGTAAGGCTATACCTTTATTGTATAGACCAATCAGCCATTGGTGGGTGATCTGATGAAAATCATGCCGGCTGCCTTTTTCCCCCGGACTTTACCTGGCACCCATTCAAGGCCTGGTCGACCTTTAAGCCAAGGTCATTGTTTAAAAACATCCGGCTCCATCAGGGCCCGATCCTACGACCTTCAGATCTGCAGGCGAGCATTCAACTTAAAAAAAAAAAAAAACAACCAAGTTAGTTGACTTTTACGACCTGCTTGTTAGGGAGTCAGGGGGTCTCTTTTTGTTTTTTCCCCACAATTGAGCCCCAGAACGCACACACGGATTTCCTTTGCTCATGTGATTTTCCTTCTCAGTACATCAAACATCCTTTCTCTCTGTGTGTCTCCCCAGCCTTCTTACTTCCCAGCTTTCCGGCTGTTTTGCTGTAATTGAATACTCTCCACCTCTTGCAAGCCTAAATAATGTGGATTAAAAACACAGAAATGTTGGTTGACTTGGTCACAAGATGGAGGTCTCTTTAAAAAAAAAATGCAGATGATGAAATGGTGAATTGATATCCATGAAACATTTACATCACACAGACAAGCAAAGGAGCTCAGACTTATCAAGCTGAAGGACATTGCGTAATTATGGGCAGTGCATTGCTTTTATCAGAGGACTTCAGACCAACTTGCTGACGTTCAGCACCACCAGGACTGGATAACGAGCGATAACTATCCGGTGACACAAAGTGCCACCATTCAGATGAGAATCATCCAGGTACAATTTCCAGAAGCCCCATTCAACTGTTAGGTAATAATTAATGCTCCCAACTGCAACGGGAGTGGGGTTTAAAAAAAAAAACTAAAAATGGAATCCCATACTGGGGCTAGGTTGAATTATCAGAGGAATGCAGTTTTGAAGACAGTCTAAAATAACTGAGCTGGGTATAATTTGTGAGGTGACAATGTTTATAAATGGTAAGCTTGTCTACAAAGTTAATGATATAAAATATGTAATACTTCAGTCACTGATCACTACACATATCACAAAGGAAGGAAATGCAGCATTGTTTCATTTGATTTATCCTGAAGCAGTTTTTAGATGTGGTCAGTTAGGTCAAATGCAAGTATTTTTGTTATTGCTTCTTTTAGTGTGTCGCCTCTTGGAGGAAGAGAAGCATCTGCATGACGCCCTCAAGCAGACGTGGCAGATGGCTAATGACCAGTACTTGGAGTCCCAGCGTCTGATGATGATGGACATGCGGAGAATGGAGGGAGTTCTTACATTAGAACAGCAGCGACAAATTGCAGGTTCTAGCAGTTTGTCTTTCTTTCTTTATTATTTAGCATTTTGTTTTACATCTAGTTTCTCATATTGTTTTAAGTTCCAGTCGACATCTATGGCTTAGGGGTTATTAATGCAGTTTCACAATCCCAACATACTACGGTTCAAAGTCAGCTGCACTTTATAGGTAGCAGGCTGCATTGGATTTAAGTTTTGACAATGTTATGAGTATGGCACAGTTTAGAAGGCGGTGGCAAACTACTGAGCATAAAATTGCCTAATAAAACCACAGAGAGGGCAAGAAATCAAATGAAAAGGAAGACAATAAAATGGTATTATGTAAAATCAAAAAAAAGAAAGAAAACACACAAAATTATATGTGATATCCTAAAGAGGATATGCAACTAACCTAATTTTTTGGTTGTAGGATATACTTACTTTTAACACTTTCTATCCTACTGCTGGTGTAATTTAGATTAACAATCTTTCGGACTTCATGAGGAGAAAGACATATGATTACAACAACTCAAATATACCATATTTTTTTCGATGTGTAAGACGCCCACTATTTTTTGTAGCCCAGAATAAGGAAATAAATATTTTAATCACATTCCATCTATAACACGACACCCAATTTTAAACTTGAAAAATTTGAAGAAATCATAACTGGAAAAATAAGGTAATACGCTAATGCAGGAGAAGTTTGAAAATAAGTTATATATTATAGAAATTAGTTAAAGTCATCCTCGTCCTTTTGTGTCATATAAGGCTCACAGGCTATTCCAGCATTCCATTGTTTTATGTGCAGTCCTTTTGACATCATGGATGAAATCCAGTCCAGTACCTTTGGTTTGTCTCACGATATCCGTTTTAGGGTTTCCCTTGTAGGTTTTCATGATAGACAGTTGTGTTACATTTTTTTTTTTTCATGTTGTGAAGTGGATTTAAACATGTTTTTTTCATGCATGTGTTATTTGTTACTTACAATAAATGTTTCCGCACTCACATAATTTTTTCACTATTAATTATTTGGGAATACTTTTTGAAGCTATGCAGTTTTAGTTTTATCTTACCATTTTGCCGTTTGGAGCCTTAGTAGTGCTGTGGCTTTTTTCTTTTAACATTGTCATCCACCTTCCTTGCAGTGTTGTGGTCTGAGATTTTCTTTTAGTGTTACAGTCGAGATTTTGTATTACTGTGTCCAAGATTTTTTACAATGTTAATAATCCAAGGCTATTGTAATGTTCTTAGATACAATTCTTGTAGAATCAACTATCAAAGATTCCTATAATGTTACCAATCCAAGATTTCTTGTTATAAGACTAAGGTTATTGTAATGTTGTCAGTTACAATTCTTCTAGTGAGAAAGTAAACTGATGTTTCAAGAATGTTTCTGTTGTCACTTTCCTCTGTGCTCCAGCATAAAACTTGAAATATTAATGATTGTTACTGTTTTCCTTTATGTACTAATAAAGCATAATCATTACATATGTAATGGAACAGTCAAAATGATGTTGAATGTTGAATTCAGAATCGACATCACAGCACTCAGGGTACCCCCATAAGTGCCCCGTCCCCATCTTCAGCAACAAGTAAAGAGTTAAAATTCTCATGCTATCAGTAACTGTCTGATTGTATATCCGTCTCGCCTTTCCCCTGAGTGCCGAGCGTTGGCCAGTCAGAACAGTCACATAGGTCACCCTCATCTTTACATATGTAATGAAACAGTCATATAGGTCACCCTCATCTTTACATATGTAATGGAACAGTCGCATAGGTCACCATCATCTTTACATATTTAATGGAACAATCACATAAATCACCCTCATCTTTAGATATGTAATGGAACAGTCGCATAGGTCACCATCATCTTTACATATGCAGTGGAACAGTCACACAGGTCACCATCATCTTTACATATGTAATGGAACAATCACATAGGTCACCATCATCTTTAATTTATAATGGAAAAGTCAATTGATCACCATCATCTTTACATGTGTAATGTGACTGTCAGTATCTCACCATTATCTTTACATTTGTAATGGAACAGATAATCTTCTTCTTCTTCTTCGTTCACCGGCTGTGAATTCCAGCGGAAGTTCCTGTTTAATCGTCCGCTTGGATTTTTGGCTTTTACCTGGACCTGAGTTTTGCATGTACAACAGTTTTGCTGTTCCATGCCTCGAGGGCAGATGTACTCCGACTTCGAGGGAAGACGTCAGGCCTATTTCTAGGATGACAGTGGCCATTTTTGTGTGTGGGTCGAGACGTTGCATGATTTGTGTGGTGTCCTCTATGTCTCCTTCTCCGCAGGTGTTGCCCCCGGAGTAACCCTTTGGGGCAGCCCCTTGTGGAACGGGCAGCCCTCAAGGGAAGGCAGGGGCAGATCATGGGCATTCCCCACCATCCAAGGAGGCTTCCATGTATGCAGAGCCGGCACATGGCGCTCTGGTTCTGGGCTCACCCAAGGAATCGTCACGTCCTGCACATGCCTGCTTAACCTCACAAGCATATAAGGCCTCCTGCCTGACAAGGGCTGCGCCCTCCGGAGATCAGCGGGGAGCAGCCCGCGGGTTCTGGACTTTTGTGACCACACGAATAGGTACATTCTTTTTCTTCGCACGTTAGATATCTTTGATGAGCCGTTAGTACGACAGAATTTTACATCCTGCGTCAGGCATATCGTTATCTGTTTGGTCCCAACACTCGGGCGAGTGAGGTCTTTGGGTGTGGACATTTGGACATTTTCCATTCAATATGATTTGTGATAGTCGGATTTTGAGCTTACTCGTGTGCCATAGGATCTAGTTTTGTCGGACATTTAGGCTTAGTCAGCCAATGGGCTCTTGCTGTTGTGGTGTACCTCAGAGCGGTGACGACGACACTGAGGGTTAGCAGAGGATGTACATGGGTAGAATCTTGCTGCGAGACGATACCCCCAGGAGATGTTACTCGTCTGTGCTGCGGGTAAATCTCTAGGTCAAGGGTTGAGTCTCAGCAGAACAATGTTCTCTTCACTCCGCAATCTTTTAACCAAGGGTTGTAATTTTAGTTGTACATTTGGCAAGCACTTTACTCATGTTCCTAATGAGTTTTGATAACCTTTTTCACCCATGCGTTTGGGGGCGGGCTGATGAGAGCCATAAGGACACTACACCTCTGGGGGCCGCCAACTCCGAGATCCCCTGACAGCTCTGTTAATGCTCATTTGAGACATTATCCGTGGCGCACGACACGTGGACGTGCTGCAGGGGTCTTACGTAAGTAAAAGTAAAGATCCCTTTTCACGCCTTTCGGCGCATCGGGCATATGGGCAGAGCGTCCCATATTTTTACAGACCTTCAGCACTCGGTGGGTAATGTGGTCAGCATTACGCCGGCTGTCTTTACTTTCCCAGGACAACCCATCCTGGTACCCATTTTAGGCTGGGTCGACCTGCGACGTCCCATACCACGACAAAAATCCACGCAGCCTGCAGTGGGTTTTGATCGCGGTATGCTGGCTTACGAGTCGGACTCGCAACGGGGTCTTACCTGAGGTTCCGTAAAACCAGAACAGTGAAGGACTGGCGCCCGAGTGACGTACGGAGTATCTCCTTATACACATCATGTTGGACTTAACTTTCCCTCACGCCTGTGACCTAAATCACCGCGCCACTGAACAGCTAAAATATCACCATCATCTTTACAAATGTAATGTAACAGTCAGTATGTAACAATCATCTTTACATGTGTAATGAAATACTCAGTAGGTCACCTTCATTTTTACATATGTAACGGGATTATCACATAGCACACCATCATCTTTACATATGTAATGGAATAATCACATAGGTCACAATTATCTTTACATGTGAAATGGAATAATCACATAGGTCACAATTATCTTTACATGTGAAATGGAATTATCACTAAGCTTCACATCCTTACATATTTAATGAATCTGTCACTCAGTCACCAACTGTACAAAATGTAAAGTGATGTCATAAACAGTTCATGATAAATGCATCTGTACCTCCTGAGGTGTTTACTTGTTGGCCCATCCAGCCCGTGGACATTTCTAATCTGTAGATCTGAGAAAGAAAGCCAAAAACGATGTGCCAGTTAAAGTAATTTTTACGCTACACGAGCACCCTGAAGAAACGGATCTTCCTCTTCGAAGGCAAAAGTCAATGCCTGATTTTTCCCACATTAGAAGTAAGAACAGTGACAAGAATGTTATCCCATTTTTCCTTATTTGAGATCCCACACCTACTTCCGCACTTCCGCCTGGCTGCTTATACAGATGATGGTTTTATAATTGTTCAACATCAGCAGGTGCCATCTCCACAGTGAAGGTTGGCAGCTTTTAATTTGGAACACTATCTCACCCTGGTTGGATACTCCCCAAGACTGCAGTTCATCCATTTCTTGATGTTATCCTCCCAGTTGTAAAGCTGTACATTGCTCACTTGCTCTCAACATTTCCCTCTAGAATTGTCTTTATAAGAGTGTTATGTCTTTAAGTGTTGCTGAATATTAAACATGTTTCTTTCCTTTTGTTTTAATTTTTTTGACATATTCTCTGTTTTACAATTTTAAAAAATTTGCATCAGCAGTTGTAATTGATGATCTTTACCATGATACCCAGTTTGATTGTCGCTGCAGGCGATTTGGCAGCAGATCGCTTTAAATTGATTGCGACAAGATATTGTTGAGTAAGCAATGGCAAACTAATGCACATAAAATTGTTTAGTAATACTAAACAGCCACACAAAATGCTGGGATTGGTCCTACAACATCCTGTAAAGGATGCAGAACTAATTTTTGTTCCAGCCACTTTTAGGTCGATTTAGGGAAGGGGTGGTGGGGGGAAGTGGTCGTGAGCCTGATGATTTAAGGCCACATGGCTGGTGCTGTTGCTTTTGAAGTAATTCCCCCTACTCGTATTGTTCTCTACTTCTTGCTCCCTTGCTTTTGACTTTTCTCTGCAGTCCTTGTGCAAGTAACTTTCATCCAATTATCATCCATTTGTCATCCTCAGC